CGTTTTCACGTGTGCCTTGTGCAGACATAATGAATTTTAACTAAAAGTTGATACGGTCTTTTTACAACAGCATCCATATTTATTACAAAGTAGGAATTGTCATATTCTCTTTCAAAAAGATAAATCTCCTGGGGAAGTTTCGCTGGGAATATCATCTCATCCTGACGATATCTCATGGGGCAGTCTAAAAAACTCGAGTTAAGTTGATTAAACCTATGATTGAGCTGTGAAATGCTTGTGTTCAGATCAATATGTCGAAGGACATATTCCGCTCACATCTCGTTCATTTGATAGAACTAGAGCCAAGTATTTGGGACTCAACAAGTGATGAGTATAGAATGGGGGATCGAAAAAAAACGCCTGGAGCCGTGTGATGAGTGGCATGAAAAAACATGGTCACAACTGCAGCTGTAGGTCTTTGTGAACGTTTCGTAAATGATCGGAAGCATTGTTTACCCTTTACTGCCCCACTTTGTGTACGTGTGTGTTTTTAGCCGTTTTTAGAAAAATTTCGATAAAAATCTGGCCCAATCTCCATCGGAAAGTGGGGCAGTAAAGGGTGAATAGTGCCGGCCTTATAGCGACATGCTTGCCTTTCTAAACAAAGCTGAATTTCACGGGTATTCCACCTCTTGTAAGCATTCGTATATTTGCATACAATGATACTTTGCAGAACTACTGTAAGTAATCTCGACGAAAATGGGAACTTCCTTTCATCCCCAGGGGACTTAGATTCTCCGATAAGTTCGCGTGGAAGCCCAGTAGCTTCTACGAAGCGAGCCGGCAATTCAGATTCAGAAAGTCCAGTATGTAAAAAACGTCCAGAATCACGGGAAGGTAGCCTATCCGTATCAAGACAATAAGTCAACTCAACTGAAGAAGTCTATTCTAAGATCTCATGGAACAAATGAAAGCAGCCGCGCACGCCGTGCAAACATGTGCGAAACGCAAGCAAGAGGAAGTAGAAAAAAAAGCGGAGGACAAATATTCGACTTTTGGTAGGGGACCTACATTTTCATGTATACTTTATGTCTTATTATTTAAAATTGAGGCGGATGGATTGGTATGCATTTGCGAGAAATGGAGAAATCAGTTGCTGAGTATAAAATGCATCTTTTGTCCACAGTGCTCCTTACAAACGCTGCCGTTGTATCAGACGTCAGTGATGCGCCTGTTGTTGTTACTGAAGAAGTTCCCTGTCCTCCAAGAAGATGGGGAGCTTAATCGAGGTCAGTTGGAATAGTTGATTTCTACTTGTTTCGCATGTTGTTCATAAATTTACTAACCGTTAGAAAATAGGGCCATAACGCTGGTCAAAATAGATCCTGATACGCTCTCTTGCTATATCTCCCGGCCCCATTCCTTGAACAGGCGCGTCCTCTTCAATTGGACGAGGTGCTTGAGCAGGAGGCGGGAATCTAATTACATTACGTAATACATGTCGCCTTCTCCTCAGCAAGTTGTGCAATACCTGAAACAGCCAATGTTTTCGAGAGAAAGCGTTGGCCATTCACACAATGTCGTGATAGCATCTCACCAGCATCGCAGTCACGACTTTAACAGCGTTGCGTGGCTCAATTTGCATTTCATTTCTCAGAATCTTGAATCTCTTGCACAGGAGGCCGAATGTGTTTTCTACTATACGTCGGGCACTAAGTTGACCACTTTGATTAGGCGAGGTACTGCAAATTTGTCCACTCTTACCCGCTATGTTTGAGATTAAACCTTCTTCTACTTGCTGAAATGTCCGCATCTATTTGCGAATACGGCTTCACATATCGGCGTCCTTGCCCAAAACCGCTGTCAACTAAAATGTGGTACGGCACAGGTCCGACAGCTCCCAGTTGCCGTGTTGGTGGGAAGATGTCATCGTTTCTCTCGAAGAAACGCTGAAGGTTGGCGTTTCAGTTAGTTTGAGTAGTTGAGCTATCAATGCATGTTGTTCAACACACCTTGATATTGGACCTCAGAAAGACTCCTGCGTCGCCCACTCGTCCAGGTGCTCCTAAGTCGAATGCAAGAATGCGGTAATCGCAGTCTACCAGGGCGAGAAGGATTATTGAGAAGAATTTTTTATAATTAAAATAAGTGCAAATAAAGAATTGGCCGGCTTCTGCAGTTGATATTATTTGGAAATTGAAAGCATTGTAGGTAGCTATAAATTTTTTCTCACCCGGATCGCTATATGTTTGCCATCTAGAAATCCTACAGCTCGAGGATAATCACATCTCTGCTGCGTTCTTATGGCAATATCCTCGAGCTCTCTTCTCGTGAAGGGCGGAAAGGCTTCAGCAAACAGCTCTATGATATATAAAATTTTGAAGTGTGTCAGTATGCGTATCATCAGTTGTTTACCTGGTGGGTTCAATTGCGTCCGCAGTTGTATACAATCGCACTCACTGTAGAATTTACCGCAGTGCATTTCCTCGGCCAGAGAATCGAAATCGTATCCATGTCCCACGTACCTTAAGCTTCCACATTGAAAACTCAGCAGATGCTCCCTTCAAAATGGCCACAACCTCAAAATTATGCACAGTCGCTGTCGGCCGCTTATATGGGGAGCGATGCGGCTTGATGAAGTGTTGGGGGGTGTAATGATCACCGGATATCAGTTGGCAAAACACTTCTCAATTTGGCGGTGAAAGTGCTCGGATTAGGTGGTGAAAGTGTCAGGCGCTAGACACCGCAAGTACTAATTAAAAGTTCGGAGCGCGCATCAGGATGAACGTGTCCATTCGCACGTAGTTCCTGCGATGCGCGACCTCTTAGGGATAGCGTCGGTGTAATTGTTGCAATGTTTATTAGCGGGCGCTCCAGCAGGTGGCAAATCGGTCGACGATTCATCATTATCGAAACTGAAGTTATGAAGCCTCAGCGTACGTGACCATCTTTTTTTCAGGTTGGATGCAAATACTTCAGGGTGTTTTACGTGCCATGAAACTAGCAGGAGTTCGAAAATCTTCATTATTGTTTTTTACTTCCTATTTACTGTGGGAACGAATGTTTGCTCACTGTCCAGTTGGCATAGATTAAATTGTGTGTTTTAATGGTCCTTTTAGGTTATTGTTATGTTTATCTGTCATATGTTTTGTCTCCTATAGAAATCCTTACTAGAACCATATAGATACTTTAAGAGACGATTATGAAACAAATAAAAGTAAAGTATGGAGGTTTTCTCAACAAAAAAGTCACCGAAGAGTCTACCGCTCCACAATCGGTACGATGGTATGGATTATATACACGATAGTTTTCTTTTACTCGCCTACTCGCCTACTCGCCTAATCGCCTACTCGCCTACTCGCCTACTCGCCTACTCGCCTACTCGCCTACTCGCCTACTCGCCTACTCGCCTAATCTATACGTATATTTTTCATTAGACTGATCGCCTAATCGCCTAATCGCCAACTATGAACACTCCATTACGCATTTGGTTTGCCCGGAACTTAAGAATAGTAAAACTTTTCGGCACTTGTCCTGCGCGAACATGGTGTCCAGATTATCCAGGACTCAACATATTTATTTGCTCTATCTCCCTACATAGGCTATCTTTCCAACCAACTTGTAAAGGATTAAACTGTTCACATGGGATAAGGGATATGGTTTTGTGCTCTAGTCATTTTGCGAGGTGCCACACATGGCATTTATCGTCTATCATGAACGTGGTATTCAAACGAGAACTACGCGCCGCACGAGCCAGCGTTTATCCAACCGAAGGAGCCCAAGCAGCCATTCAACGACTGATTGGAGGTGAGGAGTGCCTGGCTAGCACGAAAGGGAGTCGATCTAGGACCAGGATCGCTGTCTGCTTGGCCACGCCGGACATTTCGAATTTGCGATTTTTGGGAAGGCGTCGTATTTAGGGTTGAGAAGGTCAACTGCGTTTGATGCTGGTCGTATCTGCAGAAAACTGTGAGGGATCATCCTGACGGGTTTTTGAGATAAGCCGTTTGGACAGAGCGAGCACCCGAAGTAAGGCGTGAATTATATTGTTCTGCTGTAGTCACGTACAATGCGCGTTGAAGCGTGTGCTCGCCCTCGTTTTCTCTGCGCTTCAACGAAGAGAGAACGTGTCGAGCAAACTCGCAGCTCACGCGCAGCGCTCAGGCTCCCGCCCGCGCGGCGGAGCGTACGCTGCGACGCTCGACCATTTTGGATTGCTGCCCTGGACCGAAGGGGTAGCGTCGTTGTTGGCATGACCTTCAGAATGGCTACCGCAGAAAGCGCGTCGATGCGAGCGCAATGTACGTGATTGCGGCAGGAACGTCGTAATTCACGCCTTACTTCGGGTGCTCGCTCCGTCCAAACGGCTTATCACCGGGTATTCGGCGAGCTTGGGGTAAATTCACTTATGAACCAAATTCGAGCTTTTGTTGTTTCTTGAAAAATTTTCTCCCCTACCCTCCACCCTTACCACGCTGTGGCAGCTTTGCAGGAATATGTATGTGAAGTTGGAGTGTGGACTAGTCTCCGATTCAAATGCGGTAGAAACAGCCATGGTAGTGATCGTGATGATCAGCGGTGGTGGGTGGGAGGGGAGAGATCGTAAAGTTTTAAAATTGGCTCGATGGTAGGATTGACTCTGTCTGGAACCAGCACGGTTTAGCGTTGCTGCATGCCATTATCGACACACATACTCTTAAATTCATGAAAAAGGGCACCTGAAGGGATATAGTAACCTTTAAGCAACAATCAATGGACGACGTTTTTCATTTCATGGACAAAATGAAATCAATTTATTGCCTAAAGGAACAGAATTTTGTCAAACTACAATTCGAGCATTCAGAAACAGCTCAGAAAAAAATAGAGAAGCATCCAAGAATCACTATAACCCGCTCAACGAATTTTCTGGCAATCTTCTCCGAGAAGAAAATCGCCAACGTCAAATAGGCAATCATCAGAGCCTCTGAAAAAGTCAACCGAAGAACAGAGATCGCCGTCTTGTCCGAGATGGAGCAATCATGACGTGAATAATCCGAAAACCACAACCCGGCTGAGATGCGTCAGCTCTGGGATGTCTCTGTGCGCGTGAGTTTCGCATCGCTGCAAGGACTGACCAGGTTCTTCCGTAGATGGGATGTTCTCCTAAAAAATGAATTAGAATTGTCTAATTGGATAAAAGAAAGAGAAAAGAGGAACTGAGAATAAAACACGGGATGAACCATGTCCGCTTCAACTTTCATTCATATCAAAAGCGAGCCCTCTAGTGTGAGCTAGGCTTGAGGACAGATTTGTTCAAAGGAGTCCTCCCTTTGAAACTGATGGTTCTATCTCATCCATAGGACACTGGCATGAGAGCCATCTCACGATAAAACGAAAAGAACATAAAAATCGCATGAGAAGCGTTGCGTCGAAGGCCAGACAAGCAGTTTCCCTCATGATTCCTAAGGCCGATGTCAGACTTTGCGAAACAATGAGCATCTTCGCTAGCACCCGCGTCCACGTCGCGTACAGTGAATTGCTCGATTCGCAAAGTCTGACATCGGCTTCAGGTGCAATTACTCCCTCTGCTAACCTTATTCAAAACACAGGCTTGACCCGCTGTGTGCGCTCTAAGCAGAATTATGCCGTTTTTTTCGACAAACAAGGACCCAATTTACACATAAGCGATTGATGTTGCTAACATTGAACTGTTGTTCATTATTATTTGTTTCATCCTTACTTCTTCTGCATCACCGCCTCATTGATGTGCCCCGGAGGTTGATGAAAACAATGTGGTTCGTCTGAGTTAAGAGGCGAAACAAACCACTTCATATTTTTTAAACATAGATTTTTTATAAATGCTTTTGTTCTTTGTTTTTATAAACATACCTGGCAACGATGGCGAACGTGGTCGCACCAATGATTAGGCCTGTGCCCAGCACAATAACCCAGTACTTGACTTTCATATACGAAGAAAGAAACAATATGACGCACGACAAAACGCACTGAAATTAAGAACTGTGGCAGGGGATGTCATTTCATCTTATAATAGATATTGATAGGTCGACAGCCACTTACAAAACATAGGGCATTCTATAACGTCATGATCTGTAAGTGATGGAGGCAGAGATACTTTCTATCAATTTCATCTATCCATGGGCAGTCCCACGGCAGAAATTTACGGAATATAATAGTTTTGCCGAGATATTCTGCTCAAAGAATTAGGACTCTTGTTGTTCTCCAACAGTACTCTCGGTGTTGCTTCATTTAAACCCTTTCTAACGGGGTTTAAGATGCCCTTCAACCAATTAGTCAAGGCCAAAATATAACATCGACGCTGTTTGAGTCCCATTTAGGAATATTGCCTTCTGTAAAAGATTAGTCGGCTAGGGCCTCGTTATCGAAACAAGGCCACTGGTAAATGTAAGACTGGGTTTTGAAAGAAGTGCCCGTGCCTCGCAGGCGCTATACCAGGACGACTTAACGGTACATACACCAAATGTTTTTGTGCCTCTAACCGCCTGTCTGACTTGTCGCAGCACGGTCTTGTAAGAAAAACGAAGGCGAGACCGTCCACGTTGATGACGCCATACTATGATGTGGTCTTGTGCTAAAGTCGATGCGCAATGAAGAGGCCTCGTTTTGCGCGGTTCGCACCCTTTCTTCTGGTTTTTCTTCCGGCTGCAGCCTTCTTCGTTCTTCTTTACATTCCTTTATTCCCAACAGGAGGTCAAGCCGTTGTACCATCTGCCCTCAAATGCGGGTTATTGAGAGCACACGGAGGGGTGCGCTTACTAACAGTTACTGACTCCGACTGAATGCAGTAAGCAGGATGTACCCTATATTCTAAGACACGGTCGATGAAGCAGTTCAGGTGTGAGCTTATCTCACCTGGCTAGAAGTCGGGCTCAGAGAACAAGTCCTGCATTGGAAGCATTGGGCACACGCCAATTGCAAATAATGCTCCGCCCATAGTTGATCGGTTAAATCGCCATCCCCATCAGAAACCGACACAGCGATCAACGGCTCTGCTTGAATTCCAAGTTGAAATTTGTAGTGTGAATGATTTGAGTAATTGCTATAGACATGATAGCTCAACAAACACTCTGATAACCAGTGGAGTTTCGAAAGTGCTGTCAAGGCGAAAATTGTTTTGTTTGTTCTTGATCATTCCATGTCTTGACTAGGCGAAAAAACTGAATAAAGATTCACATTCTTGACCTTGGAGATACAATCGAGTGTATTCATCGTCACTATGACTGCGGAGACCCAAAAGGATGTTCAAATTTGGTCAGAGATATTCTACCAATGGTAAGGGCCACGCATTTTCCACTTCTGTTCAAAAGCTGCTGCACTATTTGACATAAATGGCGGAGTAATCCTCAGTAATAATCGGCAGAATGGCTTGTGGGGCCCTTAATGGCTATTCGCAGTGCTTTTCATAAATTACTGCCTTGAACCCCACCATTTATAGCCGCGATAGAAATTAATCTCGGTCAATCCACGAGTTGATTCTTGGGCAATACGCGCGGATGAACGACTGAGCGTCACGTCACCTATACCCAACGAAGAATTGAGAGCGTAATGCTCAAAATGCCTTTTTCTATTTATTTGCGCCATGTTTTAGGATTCCGAGAGTTTATCGGGATTTGGCTCCTGAAGATCAGATTGTCAGCAAAGTCAAATATAATACTTCTCTCTTCTGTACTCTTAAGTCGATTCCTAGCCCATCCTGCACGAAGAGTCGCTCCCGGTGGAATAACTATGTGCTGGTCCGCCATTGCAGGATCACACCACTCGCACATTGAAACGGCAGTCACTTAGCTCCGTGAGATTTTGATCAATATCAAACCAAATTTAATCAAAGCCCTAGTTTTTTCTTGGTATCTTACATTTATGTTGGTCTGCTCTGCTTCTCTTACTCTGAACTTCTGCAGCCATCTCCGCGATTCACATTATCTCCCCCAGTTAGCCCTCAAAATACGAAATAAGAGTGGATCACCATTTTCTCTTTCTGCGCAGGCAGGACGAGCATGCGGTCAGCGTTATCCAACGCGCTGTCGAGAGGACGATGCTAGGAGTAACCCTATACACGCAAGTGCAGAGGGGAATCCGGAGTGCCGAACTACGCCAACGATCGAAGATCAGGGACGCTGCCGTTTTCGCCAAGGAATCGAAGATAAGGTGGGCCGGACACGTCATGCGATTTTGTGATGACCGTTGGACCAGAGCGGTTACCGACTGGATCCCTCGGGACGTCAAACGAACACCTGGACGACCGCCGGCCCGATGGTCAGACTTCTTCACGAAAGCTCTGAACGAAAGGAATGAAGGACATCGTGTCCCTCGAGCGAGGAGGGTCCACTGGACAACTCTTGCACGCGACAGGGACGAATGGAGACGTTGCTGGCGCCCGCTCGAGCAATTCGATGATCAACGGGACGACAGGTGATACAGGTGATATAGCATTTTAAAGCAAAATAATAAGCCCCTAGAGAGCTCATTCCATTACTGTTCTTTTGGATGGCTTCTTCTCAAGTACTGTGCGTGTGCAGAGCGTTTTGTTCGGCTCGAAGATCTATATCAACAACTTCCGATGGTTTTCGCATATTAAGTATTGGACTATCATCAGCCCTCATATTGAAAGATCTCGTCCGCTCTTCATAAAATGCCCACCATTTCTTTTGGTTGCGGTTCATCGAGCTAGTGATTGATTATACTTTTGACAGCACACTAAACGAACGGATGCCATCATTTCTAGACTGTCATCAGTCACGGCGATGGATCTGGTTTTGAGAAATGGTCAGAGATGACAAAATTCAGGACAGGACAAAGGTTGATCGATTGGCTCCCATGCGGGAAGTTGTAGATTAGTCGAAGATATCGAAAATCGATTGGCTTGAAATCAAAACTTAGTATTTTGTCGACGAGAAATAATCTCTCCTTTTGCGACAGTCGCTAAGCAGCCCTTTCTTGTAGGTAGCTGCTCATTTACAGCGGTTTTGTGCGCAGAGACGCGTTCTTTTTGAAGTCTACCCAACCTTCCAAAAAACGAGAAGAGCGTCGGGTGCAGACCATACACCACAAGTGACGACGGCCTCCAAGTAAATCTGGTTAGTAGTGGTTCATAGTGATAGCTGATTTTTGGTAAATGATAGTTGTAATTAGTGACAACTGATAGAATACAACTGCAACAGGCTAATCATTTCATTGGCAGAAAACATTTACATTTTGTGGAGGCCGTCGTCACTTGTGGTGTATGGTCTGCACCCGACGCTCTTCTCGTTTTTGAAAGGGAGGGTACGTCTACAACTTTTGATGGTTCTCGCGTACTAATTATTTTTATTATTAGCCCTCATAAGCTGCGATGAACTTTATTTGACTTCGCACCAAAGGTAAAGGCCAAATCATTCGGCGTCAATCAATTTTCTTATGATGCGCCACGCATTCTACTTCCATGTTTCATCCAGCGAAATACGCTACACAGCGACAAACGGGACCAGCCGATGTGTAAATCAGTGTTCTGAACCCACAGACGAATCTGGAAGCAACATCCCACTCAGATATGTTGGAAGAATCGGTTCGCCTAGGCGGGATCTGTTCATGAACTCAATCCCTGACCAGATGTACGGTAACAGTGCCACCTTCATGCACGCCCTGATGTACGGAACGCGATTACATGATCTGTCATAGGCTCCGGGTTGATCCTCAGCAGATCAGAGTGCCAACTATTTGTTGCTCCTATCCGTTATCCACAACTTTAAAGGCAGATTTACGATGACAATGAGGTATATAGCCCACTGAAAATAAAGGTAGAGGTGGTCAGTCTCTCGCCCGTATAGACCCGCTGCGAGTGACTTAGATAGTCGGTGGGCGTTCCGCGCCAACTCCACCAAAAGGAAGGCCATGTTTGATCGCGGGGCATATCTTTCGATACGAATTGTGTGTTGGTCTGCACCCTTAGAGGGTCCGCCCCATCTTCACTAGGTGAATTTCTCATTCTTCGACCTTCTTGGTTATCTCATGGAATCCTTAGCAACACGAAGAAAAGGTTTCAGTATGCCACTTCAAATGGTGCCATTATTATCTCAGACTTTTCTTCTGCTTCTTTCACCTGATATTTCCGGGTCTATTAAATACCACCAATATCTTCGTGGGTTCCCATTTCCCCAGCTAGCTAATGATTAAATTACATTACAGCAATTTTCGCCATCATTTCTTGAATAATGGCTAGTTACAGCAATGGGTCTGCTGCTGAGAGATGTGGTAGAGATGGCAGAAGTCGGAAAAGGGCAAACCGATTGATTCGCACTTCCATAAAACTTTTGTGCAGTAACCTTTGGAGGTTTGCCAGCTGACGTTTTGCTCCTGTGAGATGGCCATCGACAGCATGAAGATATCGTCTGCTACAACAGTAGAACCTCAAATGGTTCCCTAAATGTACACGGGAAAAAGGGTAGAAGTGAAAATAGCCTTGTCAGGCTTGTCTAAAAGGACTTAAACAGTGGTGTGCTGGCCCCGCAAGTCGTACAGACCAAATATCATTCGAAGGGCAATAAAGAATAAGCAAAATACATTTACGATTTTATTGAGAAGTAGAATGCGTGGCGCATCCAAAAAGTGATTGATCGATGCCGAATACATTACAACTTTCTACCTAGATTGTTTCATCGTAACAACTTCGGATGCTGTTTCAAAGGAATGATTAGAAAGGAAGTAAGGGCACAGTACTCATGACCGTGCGCTCCTATGATGTTAGCTCTTTCCATTTCAATGAAAGGTACATCAGTTGGGAGAGTGCAGTAGGTTCGTTCAGGACTCCTGCCCAAAGAGGCCACTTGTCCACTGCGTTTGTGGAAGGGAAGGTGGAAATGAAAGCTTCCAGTGTGTTCGTACCTGGGCTTGATCAGCAACGTTGGTGCACTAGTCGGTTCAATCGTAGCCATATCAGGTACTGAAAGCACGATCAGCACTAGCGCTGATGACACTGCCAAGAAGTGCATAGTAATCGTTACGATCAGTCCCCAGTCGTGACACTTCTTGATCAAACGCCGAAGCACCACACCACCTGAAATTGGATTGGATATGCTAGCACAACAATATATTTACTTCTGTTATTGGATTGAAGCCTCGACTGTCACACAAGCAAAAACAATTTTCATAGCGAAATATCGTGTAATTTTATTTGTTCAGCGCTGTGGTTGCATGTCATAATACACCATTCCGACGATATAGCATTTTCAACTTTTAGGAAGCATTTTGATAATTCTATTCTATACTTCTTATTTTATTTCCCATGAATTGCAGGCTGTAACATATTTCACATAGAAGCACATTTAAATCAACTTGAATCAGCATTTAACATCGAGAAAAGAAAGAGGTACATTTACAGTTGCACAGTTCAGGGAACAGTGAAGGCTCGGATCAACCTGCATGGATGAAATGGAGAGAGTCCACTGGAATCCTGTGCAACCGAAGGTGTACCGAGGACATGAGTAGGGCCTGAGCCATGCTCTACGGCAGCCCTGAACAAATGATGCACTAAAGGCACATCACTTTCGTCGGACTAATGCTGAGCAATGGCCCTGCACTAGACGCAGACAGCTGGACTCCGGTTAAAAACGTAGAATATGCCCGTTCATCGCAACTGCCCGTTCCACCGAAGTACGTGAACAGCGGTCTGCGATCGGTAATCGGTACCGGTGCCTGAGTTAATGCACAGATCACCTATAATACACAAAATGACATTCGAAGTGCACGCAATACAAGCATGACCACCAAAAAAAGGTGAGTAGCTATATCATGTAAGGCCTAAGTGAAGGTATGTGCCAATGGTAAGAATTAGTGCGCCCTAGGACGAGAAATGGGAGGCCTGACATAAGGACCAGCGAAATCCCTGCCAATTTTGCGCGTGCAATTCCTAACTCAGAAGAGAGAAAGCTCAGTGTTGTTAACTTTGATTCAAAGAAACAGACGTTCACAAGGCCGATCACACATAACCCTATCTTCAAAGAAGTGTTTCGTGTGTGACCTCGTCTCTGCTAATTTGACCCTCAACTGCCGATCCTTTCGTAGAACTCAATTGCATTAGCATATTCTCGTCGTGCGAATTGTCCTTCATTCATTCCGCCGGACTTAATTAATAAACGAAACTCGCCCTCGACTTACAGAAATTACTGATTTCGAATGCTAATGCGACATGCGAAAAAAACAACAATAAAAAAATTATGATGAAATTAAAAGATTAGACGTGGCGTAAGAAAAAGAAACAAGCAAGAACTTACAGAAGCAGAAAAAGATTGGCAGGCAAAGATAAACAAACAAGTTATTTTGTCACTGCATTATAACATGTATTATATTATAGTTTCACTTTGTCCCTTCTGTCAAAATTCTTTTAGCTTTTAGTTTGAGTAAGGGGTTTAAAATATCTATATACAAATTGCTTAACCAAAAATCTCGCCTACACGCCATAGCAAGGCTGAGACTGCTACAAAAGATGTCCGTGAGAGAGCAATGTGAAAGAGGTGTTGATAACGCCAGCATAAGAAGACTACAATCAAGCCCATGGTAGCCAAAAAATGGCGTTAACAACACACATATTATTCGCCAGTCACCGATGACTTGACTGGCCTAAAAAGGACATGATAAGCTATATGGTCTATAAAGGCATGACTGAGCAATTAAGGCCATCCTCCACAATAATTACAGTAAATAATAAGTCCAGGAATGTATCTTCTCAATGTTCCATCCAGTCTCTCTTGGTCTTCCCCTCTTTGCCTTCAGCTTTTAATCCGCAGTCAAAATCAGCAGACAATGTGTTAAGTATCTATAACAACTACCCGCTTTCTTGGTAAGTTAATACTCGTAACAAGAAAGAAAAGGGCTAGCTCATACACCTCTCATCAAAGCCATCTGTTACGCCTCCTTTACACAGGCGTTTAATGCATTCACTGAAAAGCAACACGGCTCATTGGTAAATTAGGATAAAGAGATAAAGGCATATGCCTTTGATAATCCCTCCCTTGTGGAATGCGCAAAACGCATTCTACTTGCATTTACATTCGTGGCATTTGAATGTGCCTATACATGACTTGCCTGGGGCCATTGCGATGTCAACGTCATGAGTTTTATCCTCCCAGACAAGTCTGGTACCAATTAACCGACCCCGGAAGGATGGAAGGCTTGGTTGGCCCGGGCGACTCACGACCCAGGATTGATCCCGGACCGCTCGCGTGGTGAGCGCGCCACTTGTCACTACACCACTTCCGCCCCCTTATGTATGGATAGTAGACGTAATTATTGCTTTGCGCAGCAACAACAATAACCGACATTAATAAAACCAACGACTTCACATCACAAACACAATAATACGTCAATAACAAAATAATCCACCATTGAATATTTCTCCTTATTTTTTGGTTAGCTCAGCACTTATTCAACTGAAATCTACAAAAATTCTAGTGCAAAATACCAAAGCAACCGTATAAATCTAAAACGGGACACACCAACATTCCTTTAAAGTCGAAGACCAACCAACCCTCACTGGGCAATTTTCGATGCGATAGCTGCTCGTACTTGCTTCGGTAAACAAAACAAAATTACACACAGATATCAAATATTTAATGCCGCAAGAAATAGTCCCAAAATACAAATATTGTGAGCCGTGTAGGACTCCACCGCGATGCACCGTTCCCAGATCAGCCGTAACTGCCCAATCGAGATGCGAAAACAACAAAAACATACACAAACGTACTCAGACTGAATAACACCACACACTTAACGTACGGCGTCATCTCAGATGGAAACACTGAGCATCTAATCAACACACAACACCGCAGCTCCACCGATGAAACATCGCTGAAATGAGGGAAAGAATAGAAGTATAGCATCATCTGGTGACCTTACAAGTACTAAAGCGACCAAAAAATCCATGCATCTGGATATAACTTCACAAAATATGCCTTCAATCACCCTCACGAGCAAAACGATAGTCACCGGCCACTCTCTAGGGTATATTGCCGCCGTTGTTCCATGACAGCTCATGTCGCTAGTTATCCAAGCAAACCGGAATTCTCACCTCAACTTTCTAACTATGTCACTTCAACTCTGCCTCAAATTCGCTACTTATATTTGGCTACGACCTCCTCCAAATAACTTACAGCAAGCTCCCGAATGAGGGGAGACTGGATGACCGCACTTCGTGTACCTTCCCGATGGGACTGCACTTCTTGGTGGTACCTCCATAAGTAGGCGTACTGTACTACTAATCGCAAGATGAACGTCCCGGGTTTCCGCTTGTTGAACCGTTCTACGAATTTGTACGCTATGCGCTCACATCGCATACTTGTGGGAGAAAAACGAACCTTATGACACACTGGTTTATTGCTGAATCGGTACACTTGTTTTTCATAGACAGCTACATTTTGGGACGGGAAGTTCGCAGACTTGCTATTTCTGGAGATGCAAAGAGTTTTTCCAATGACTGCTTCATTCTCAAGCCAAATATTTACAATTTCAGCGATAATTTCATAACACATTACCCTGTTATTCATAAGAATTTGCAGATGATGGGCCAAAGACTACTTGAAGGTGCCCATTATTCTTTATGCGATGTCTGAGCCGGATGGCAAATTATTTGAAGACCTTCACATGGATCAATTTTATGAGTCCTCCTTGTTTGCCCTTTGTATTACAGCTCCTATTTGAAGACTTCCTTCGAAGACGGTTCGTTTTCGCCTTGTTGACGATGCTGCGGAAAACTCGCTTTTTCTGCGGTCAGTCAAAGAATGGACGCACAGAGATACTATTGTTGGCTACTGTGCCGCCTATCCGCAAAATAGTCTTGCTTAGCGAATATTTTAAAATTTGCTCTTGTGAATTTCTGAAACCAATGGTCACAGGATCGGAGATACGAAAACAAGACTTTTTTTGCAATTTATTAAACGTCAATTTAGAAACCGAGGCTAACAAATATTCTTAGATGGGTTACAGTCCGACTGGCTCTTACTTATACCCAAGCTGTTTACCCTCATGGAGCATTCACCAAAGGATAACTGGAGGCCTATGTATGAAACTCCCGCGCCTTGCAAGGGTTTTCGCATTTTGTACAATTGTAATGTATGTCACGGCAATGTGATTGCAAGGTTGCGCGCGCGTAAATCTATGTACTTAGAGACAAATCCCACGATTATGATGAATAAATGATTTTCTTGGGTTTGGAAGGTACTTTTGGAAGTAGTGCGACATTCTAACAGCTTGGAAGTGTTCTCATTACTGCGGGTGACCGTCGCTCCCTTGCTCAAGATCTGACGGCTGCAAGGTGGAATGTATGCGTTGCGTCGGCTTATGGTTCCGATCTCCCCTAACGACCCATATTCTTTCGTCTCTACTTATAGTGCCTCTGAAACAGGCTGTCTCGATCTATCTCGTAAATAACATCCATAATCTGAAGGTAACGGCCCGCGGTTTCACTGGCGTCGGCGATGTATTTTTTTGTTGTGACTGCTCACTTTGCTCTTCCTTATTCTTCTTGAGGAAAATGACTCCGATGCCTTCTTTCTCAGTCAAAATGGGCGGTCCCTTGAGAAAAAGTGAATAAACAAATGAATGAGGAGGGGTTTGACCGAAAATGATTTGAGCGTTGAGCGAGAATTGAAGGTATAGAGAAGCGGACAAGAAGTGGTGGCTAAGGGCACGTAAAATAAAGCAAAGCAGATAAAAGGGACCGCAAGAAGGCTTGCAAAGCTCTAGCACTACTATCAATCTATTTAGTTTTCATACAAACCCCACGTGACCTCCTCTAGAATCTCATCAAGTACTTCTCTGTCAGGTAGAAGAGTCTCACCTGCTGTGACCGACAGCCGTTTCAATACCCGTATTTGATTCGAGAGTCCGTCTGGACGAATGTTCGGACAAGTACGCGCCTTCACCATTGTTATAAACTGAAAAAATCACCATCAAAACGGCTGCTCAGGGAAGAGGAGAACGGGTAATGTATAGGGAAAAGGAGTGTCTAAGGAGACGGTAAGTGGTGGGGAATGCATCGCTAAACTCCGTGGTAAAAGGCAGAAGGTGGTTTAGAAGCCACCTCCACAGCAATTGCCGGTTCTCAACTGCGCCCACCGCTTCGAAAAATGAACTGGAGTTCTTACTTATTTTTTTTTTCGTTTTAGAATTGATTTGCGACAGACCCGCAGAAGCTGGTACCCCTGAATGTCTCGTATCGCAACGATCGAGCCAGGTTTCATATCACCCCCATCGAAGTACCATCGAGGTGATAGTCTCTATTTGATCTAAAACGTCCACAAAAAATAAAAGGGCTTCGGAATACAAGGATCTGACAAGAATAGTGGGTCATGGACAAAGCTATTGACCCAGACGGGGCTCGAATCAGCACCTCTCACGTATCGAGCAAGTACGCTACTGTAAAAGGTACGCTATCAAAGCACCGTGCCGTCCTAGCTCAGCTTTTCAGAGGTATGTTTACCATAGCTTACTGTCACGTTAGACGTGAGTGCGGATAAACTATGGTAAATATACCTTAGGGCGAAACGGTGCCCGGTAGCGTAACTTGTAGCGCACTTGCCCGGTAAAGCGAGAGGTGCGGGTTCGTCCCGTCCTGGGGCGAAAGTTTTGTTCACAACCCAGCATTCTTGTAAAACATTCGCTAACGCGCACTGCAGGCGTTATAAACAAAACAAAACAACAAGAGTCTCACTTGTGCGCACAACAATTGCCTCTGCCGCAGCTCTAACCCTTACCTACTGCATTCCGGACAAAACAAAATAACAAAACTACAATATTTAGAAGATATCCTGTTCACTTACACGAATAGCCTACGCCCATAAGAGCTTGCGAGATATAGAAGTAGATATAATTGACGTGGATAAATCCCAGGTAGTAGATTCCGAACAGGATACTAGCCAGGGTGAGAATCCATTTAGAGCTCACATAGCTTTGTATAGATGGAGTGATAGCGAGGACGTGGCAAAAGCCGTATAATGGAAGGCTTGCCTAAAAGTTGGTGTATTCAAGTCAGTCTCAAATTGTCGATCACCAGAAAACGAGCTCCACTCACCCATAATATCCAGCAAGCCTCGAAATCCTTCCTGGATATCCGTTCACTCACTGCATGAATGACAGCTTCGGATATGAATCCTTGCATAATATAACCCAGATAGAGGAATAGTGTCCCAGCGCCTAACATATAGACCGACAGAAGTTCATGACGGCGAGGTGTGAGTTGCATGGCTTGGTTACTTGAACGGAAGTTTATAATTCTCTGAAATCAAGTTGAAAAAATATTTGAAAGCAATAAGGAAAAGAATAAGAAAGAAAGAGAAAATGCGAAATAAGGAAGAATTACGATCGAAGAAACGGTTGAAAGTTAACCTTCACAGAAATTCTACCCAACAAACGGCAAGTTTTCTGAGATGGAACAGAAGGTCTTTTTTTTGAAAAACGTAACAGTGTATGCCAAAATCAGCAAGGACGCGTACGGAGCGAACGGGTCCCATGTCCCATGTAGAAGTTGTACCTTAAGAACCATAGAAAATAACAATAGCATCTTGCAGTAATCTCTATCTTGCCCTTCCTCAAAACCTCGGGATGTTTCAGTATGTATAGTATTTCTTCTGTCTCTGCGGCAATGGTATCATTTTCACTACAGAAGCAATGAGGGAGACGCTCAGAGGAACACTGGTGGAATTCAAGTGAGAAACCGTTCTTGGGATTCCCATTCTACCTTCACTAGTGTTGTTCGCTTGGTGCATAGTCGTATCGAGCGGATAGGTAAAAAGTTCAAGAAAGTTTCGAAACGCCTTAAGCCTTCGGAAACGAGGAGGTGTGTCAGGCAAATAAAGATTCCCATCAAAATCGTCAAGCACGGGAAGAAGAAGATTAGTGGCCAGACTCCATTTCGATTTGTATGGGCCATTGCCAAAAAGGCGGCAAGTACGTGGTTACTGCGATTATGGCCCCTCTTATCACGCGTTAGTGAATGGCTTCAAATACTGATCGCAATCGCCACACAAGGACGAACAAACTATCATACACTGGAATTCGGTGTGAAGGCCATGCGCCCCCAGGGATCAGACTAGTGTGGTTCTTGCACCGGACCGAATAACGGAATGCGATTGGTGCGAAATCGTTGGACGGGCCAATTAGAACGAAAAGAAGAAGAATCCCACGTCGCATGGTTAAGGCCTCACCTCCTAATCGGGCTTTTGTGTTAAGAGATGGGCCTAGGCGCGCGAGAGGAGGAGTATGAGGCGAGAGGGCGCCAGCAATTGAGAGGACATTGCAGCTGCTGCAGCTCAATTTACAAAGCCTTAGCGCTGTTGTCCTTTGATTTGCGAGCACGTAAATGCGAATCTGTGATTTTTCCTAGGGCCTACTATACAGACCTGGGGAAATCGTTTTACCCTTCACACTACTTTTGCTTGGGTTGTACCTCAAAATAAGTAGCAGACTATGGAAATTAATTGCTATCCGTCTGATCCTGCAAGCCCCCGAAGTATACGATAATTTAAAATGGCAATGTTCTATACGATCATGAAGGATGGGGTTTGGTTTTCCAGTGGAAGTTCGCTCAATTTCAAAAAAGAGCGCAAAAGTGGGTGCGCCAACCCAGCGTGCAGTTAATTCCAATTGAAATGGAGTGGCATTTTTGGCTGGATGGTTGGCCATGACCAATCGTGTCTCGGATCACATTATTCGCGGGATGTATGGCATTTTGAGATCTTCTCTAGCAACTTCGTAGTTAGTACTTCCTCATTAGGCTCGCAGCACTCTCCAGGAACCGCTCGATCCCAGATGTTTCTAGTCTCCAAAACGGGAAGTTCGATAATCATCACTTGGCACGGCACGCACATTATCGGAAGCCGTCCCGAATAAACGGGACGTAGTCCGGACGGATGTTTTTGCTCGTCCTTACTTTTTTGTACTCATAAATCAAAACCTGCCGAAAATGCTCTTTCACCACATGAACTTTGGAGCAATAAAATTGCAAAGTTGTAGGAACAATACGTTTTATGTTTGCATGGTGAAAGGGCACGACTGCAACACACAGGGATGGCCAAAAAAGGGGACACTTTGCTCACGACGCACACCAGACATCAAACCTTTCATCGTACAGGATGCCGCTGTTGATGAAAGTTTCACGGCAAAATATCCCTTAGATATCCTCTCATTAGTAGAAGCAGGCCCTCCTTCACTTCTCTCACCGTCCTCAATGTATGACCTCATAATCCATCACCTTCGAACTCAAGAAGGCCCAAAGTTATCGTTTCGGCCCGAATCTGCTACATTTCTTTAATCGGCTCACTGGCAGATTATCCTTAAGGAAGTGATAGCTCTAAATGTGGACCTCTACCGACCAGCGTTTCAAATAACGCCGTAGAGGTCCATAATCCCCGAGGACTAATTGAGCTCGAACCGTGCACAAGTTTCCCATGGCAAATTCTTGTGATGTCCTTGGTACAGAAAGCTATTGTAAGATTTATCGATAGACCGGGATAAGCTCTTTTTAACCCATTCGCGACCGCGCAGGATTTTCAATCTGCTCCGTTCGGACGAGCTTTGTTTGAGACGATCGCAAAGCGGCAGCTACCGGTGGCCATCATTGTGTCCCTCGCGACCCTTTCTTGAAGTGAGGTGAAGTGGCAAAAATCAACAATTGGTGCTGAAACTTTTCCATGAGGGCAACCGGTGGATGAAATGGTCCCAAGTGAGCATCTTCTCGTCAGCCACCGGTGGCTGCCATTGTCGCGAATGGGTTAATCAGGGAATGTTCTGAATTCCTATTTAACTTTGGAAGGAGACCTAGTTACGGCGGTAGGGCCTTGTACGCTGATTACAAATATAGACATTAAAATTGATACATAAACTTTGTAAGAAACTTGATGCCTTACAAGTTGCAAAAGAACGCTATTGATAAAGTGCAACTATGTGAAAACACGGTTATTTTTGCCTGAACTTGTTCTATAAGGCAAACGGTTGCCCTGATTACGAATATGAGACTTGTTTTGGTGCAGGGCCACGGCGACTGTGATTTCACCAGTTAAGCTCGCTACGAGTCGTGTCTTGTCAACTTTTTATAAGACCCAGAAACTTTCTTGGACCATAACTTTCTTTGGAAGTTCACGTAGCAGTTTTATTGCCCATGTTTGTAATCATCGTTCAAGGCTCTATCGATACGTCTAGGTCCCCTTCTAAGGTTACATGGGGATTTCAAAGCATTTCCTGGCAAGTTGGGAGCAGTCGGTTTGAGTTTAGCAAAGCTACCCCTGTGTAGCCTGCTAGCAAGCGAACTGGAGACTGTGGTTTACTTTTCGGCAATGCTTGTGGGATGGCCCAGTATGTACTGTGGGTAGAATGTGTAGCGTGATCGTTAGCATAGGAGAAAAGGATAAGCATATAGGATATAGCATACTTGCGGGGCCAGCCGATGTACAAGTCAGTGTTTTTATCCTCCCAGACAAGTCTGGTACCAATTAACCGACCCCGGAGGGATGGAAGGCTTGGTTGGCCCGGGCGACTCACGACCCAGGATTTGATCCCCGGACCGCTCGCGTGGTAAGCGTGCCACTTGCCACTACACCACTTCCGCCCTAGGAGAAAAAAAATTTGATGACTCTATTAAACCGAAACTATTAGAAATTCAGAAAGAAAATAAGCATTATCAGCAAAGAAACGCGGTTGGACATATCTGGAAAAATCCAATATGTTTGGGTTTCAAACGGAGAGGTCGAAGTACGAGCTGAAAGGACATTTCTAAAGATCGCTTTCTCACTGATCGTCTACAGCCGCTCACACTTTTTCTTATTGCACTTCGCCTATCCCTCCGACGAAGGTCCAGCAAAGGTCACTTTTCGTGCAACCGTAGCACTATGAAAACACTTCGCAAGAGAACGTCTCACGACAATGGACTGGGTAACAGTCTCCGTTCTCAAAGTGTATGGCTGAAGTAAGGTGATAAATGTGTCTACTTCCTGAATTTCTTCACTAAACACTACTCGTTGAATTGGTAATGTTAGAGGCACGTAAAATACGAATCCCGAGCGAATCTGAATACGTGAATGGCCTAAACCGTAACATGTGGGGGCGGAGCGACGATCAAAAAAAACTTTTCAACCTTCTTGCAATTACGAAAGCATTTTGAAAACCTGAACGAATGAAAGGA